TATGTCAATTCCTGAACAATTCCTTGCAAATTTTACCTGTCTGTGAAATTAAAAAGTCTGGGAACCAGTGATGTAGACTAAGTGATAAGATAGGTTCACAATCAAATATTCATGAGAATAATCCTGGAACAGTATTCTGATTAATTGGATTTTCACATTGTGTTAACCATTTTGTTTCAGCCTTGCTTATTTAACTAGATTTGACATGCATTCATAGAAAGCCTTTGGTTATGCCAGGCATCATCTTAAATGATGCCAATGAAAAGATGCATAAGTATGGGCTTTGCTTTTGTGAACAAACCAGATTAGTGCCAAAGACAGAAAAAGAAACATTTAAGTTCTGTCTTCAATGTGATACCTGTAAGCAGAATAATAGATGTATGTATGTGGTATAGAAAGTTAAGTCAGGGAAGGGAGTGCAATCAGAGAAGGCTTCATAAAGAAGGTTACGCTTTTACTGGGTTTGATGGGCAGATAGGCGAGTCCTCCAGGTGAGCATGGACTGGGAAGAAGGCTGTTCTACCCAAAGGGAACCTCATGCTCAAAGAGACTGAGGCTTTGAAGGGCAGGATCATTGATATTGATGCTTCATCGATATTGACAGAGCAGCCATTTCAAGTGTCAAATGAAGAAATGGCCAGAGAAGAAATCTGAGAGGTAGCCTGGAGTCCGATGATAAAATGACTTGTATGTTTTGCTGAGTTGCTTGGACTATATTTAATATGTGCCTAGAGAATCTTTGAAGGGTTTTAAGCAGGAGAGAATTGGAAATCTTTCTAGAAATGTATTAGTATTCCCTTTCTGCCTCAGTAAGTAGAGTAGCAGCAGGAAAAGAGGAAGACCAAATATGCATGAATTGACTCTATAAAAGAAGCCACAGGCATGAGTCTACAGGAGCTAAGCAGGGCTGTTGAGGACAAGATATTGTGGACATCACTCATTCATAGACCAGGAGTCAGAATCAACTCAACAGCATGTAGCACAAGTAGAATATATTGAACCTAATTGATTTTCTTACTGATGGTGAAAGATTTTTCAGTGATATTCTCAATGAATATCAGTCCTCATTTTACAAAGAAACACATTGATATATAGGTGGAGGATTTGGGCCTCTTCAATAGAGACCCAGGAAATAGTTCTTGAAATTTCTTTATAAAATCAAATTACTATGAATGTATTTTCTCTTTTTTTAAATATATTTTTATTGATTTTTAGAGAGAAAGGGAGAGGGAGAGAAAGATAGAAACATCAATGATGAAAATTGTTGATTGGCTGCCTCCTTCACACCCCCTACTGGGGATTGAGCCCACAACCGGGCATGTGCCCTTGACCGGAATCAAACCCGGGACCCTTCAGTATGCAAGCTGACACTCTATCTACTGAGTCAAACCAGCTAGGGCAATATATTTTCTCTTAATATGTCTCATTCTTGTTAATACTAAGAAAGCCCTGGGGAAGAGATTTTGGTTGACATCTATTAATTGAATTTTTCTTAATTTTACTATAGAAAACCATTGGTTAATATATGTAGATGGTATCCACCCAGGTGCTGAGTGAGGAATAAAATTGTGCCACTTATTAGAATTTGGAGATCATTATACTTTCTGGAGAATGGATATGTATTTACAATTTCTTTCCCTATTTGTTACTTAATACATAATAGTTACTATCTACATATATAAAAGCCTAATATGCAGATTGTCCCCTCAGGAGTTCGACTGGGAGACCGGGAGTTCGATCGCTCGCTATGACGTGCACTGACCACTAGAGGGCGGTGCGGAATGAAGGAAGACCCCTGCCGGAAGGCCCCATCGGCCCTGATCACTGGCCAGGCCTAACGACCTTACCCGTGTAAAAATTTCGTGCACTGGGCCTCTAGTATAAATATATGGTGAGTTGAAAAGAATTTGCAATATAAATGGAAACAGTTTTTCTAAGGAAAACTAATTACTGACTTAACTGGTAGTTCTTTAATATGGTTTAACTTTTATATATAAACAGGGAGAATAAGTGATTGTAATGAATTTCACCCTTTAAACGAGTTTAACGAAGATCTACATACAAGATATTAAAAAGCTATTATAGTCATACTAGAGACCCGGTGCATGAAATTCATGCACTAGGGGGGAGGGTGTCCCTCAACCATGCCTACACCCTATTGCAGTCCAGGATATCTGACTGACAGCTCCTGCGTTGAGCATATGCCTTCTGGTGGTCAGTGGGCATCATAGCAACCTGTCATTCCGCCATTCGGTTGATTTGAATAATAGCCTTTTATTATATAGGATTGGCGCATTGGGGAAATATTTCTTTTTAAAATATGGGGGTTTGGCTTAGAGATGGGAAATGAAGGCAGTAGGTAAAGTACCTCTGAAGGGGAAAGTGTGAACTGTAAATTTCTCCATAGAAATTGGGGCTATGTACACTGAACATTCTTAAGAATGACCTGCATGTTGGAAGCTCTAGGTTTGCAGATATTCTAAATTCTTTCTCAATGTGAAATGCCAATAGGAGTATTAGTACCAGGAGGCTGAGTATATGAGCTAAAAAGTGATAATCATACTGTGGGCAAATGTGAAATAGAGAAAAAGTAATATAAATTATATTTGTAAGGTGATGATCTCAGCATGGTTGGTTAAATGTAAGGAAGAGAATCTGGAGGTTACTGTAGACTGTCCTCTGGAGTTATGAGCCCAGTGTGCTAGTGTAACAAAACAATCTGGTCATCATAGAGTAGGATTTGAAAACATCACCTAGACCTTAAACAAAAACCTGCAGTTGTGTATACATCTGAAATACTAGATGTCTTTATTTCAAGAAAATTATACGAGACATTAAAATATAGGATAGTCTTAATCCGATTATATTACAATGTAGACTCTCAGGACCCAGACAAAGTCTCAAAGTTTGAGAGGAGTAAATCAGGAGAAAACCAGGAGTATTACTTTACCTTAGTGTAGGAAAAAGAATTGTCAAAAACATAATAGAATAGGCTGGAAATAGGGGTTTAGTTATAGACACTTAATAACTGTGAAGTTATATAAATATAGTGACCTGGTGCACGGATTCATACACAATGAAAGGAAATTAATTAGAAGGTGGCCAGTGGGGCGGGACTGGGCAAGACGGGCCTGACATGCCCTGGAGCCAACCTCCAGTGGTCCCTCCCCAGCGTCTGCAGAGTGAGCAGGGTCCCTCCGGCAGGTGGGGTCCCTCTGCCTGGCCCGTGGGGATTGGGCTGAAACCGGCTCTCTGATATCCCTGAGGGGTCTTGGAGTTCGAGAGGGCACTCTGCAAAGTTGCTGTCTTATAGGATGTGGAACGCAAATGCAAGTATGCAGTAAACCAGATTTGGGGCCAACAGTGCCCCAGCAACAACATAACCCATGGCCAAAGGTGGAATTGTGTGGCCCCACGAAGAATCGGGCTGCCTCCTCTCTGGTTTCCGGGTGTGTCACCAGAGAACTGCCACTGCCAAGTCACTGCAGCTTGGCAGTTCCTGTGTGGAGCGTCTGCCCTCTGGTGGTCAGTGAGCGTCATAGCGACCGGTGGATGGTCGGACACTTAGCATATTAGCCTTTTATATGTATAGATAATCCAGATGTTTTCCTGTCTCTTGTCCTCACCACCTACAATGTTTCCCTTTTCTCACTCTTGGATATTAATGGGTATCCCCAGGAGATTTTCCACCTGCACTCACAGAAAAGTCCTATTGACTGCGGATGTTTATGTCCCTTTCTGTCCCTAACCCCCCTTCTAGGGCACTGCTGAGCACTGCTGCTTTCTCGGCACCACTGGGTTCCACTGAGCTATCACTGCACATGCACTAAAATATTCTGAGGTCCAAAGTGTCAAACTTAATTGGAAAACTTAAACGTTTTCCCCTAACATTCTTAGATGGGTATCAAAAGCACTTAACCACACCCAATTTTAGTAGTCACAACCCTTTCCGTTCTTACAGCTCCAGTGGGAAAGTGGGGACATCCCTTCAGGGATGATCTCTCCAGGGCAGATCTCTCCAGGCTGGGGCAGAACCTCACCTCTTTCCAGGCGTGAGATTTTGCTGCAGAGTTCATCTTCCAGTGCCAGGCCCCCTCTTCCCCTCAAGGAGTCGCCTTCTGGTGCCGGCTTGGGCTTAGCCGGGGTTCCCTCTGCTACAGTTCTAGCAAGGGGGACTGACGTCGTCAACTTGAAGTTGGCATGAGGGGACCATCTACTCAATCTTCTCAGAAGAGTAACTTAACTCTCCTGGGAAACGTTAAGAAAACACAGAGAACGTGAATTAAACAGAACTTTTAAAGGACAGTATTTAAATATTTTAAATGAATGAACGCGAGACAAGGACACCTCCAGGTTTGCAGATAGCTTCATTAAAGCTCTTCGGGGTAGGGAAATGCGGTGGAATCAGGAGCGGCGTGGACGGGGAGTGAAAACTTGTTCAGTGACTCTCAGGAGGAGTCAGCACGAGAGTTTCAGGTATTCTAATTCATTGTAACCACTCCATTCACTGGATGAGATTCCAGCTCGGGCAACATTACTCATCTGGAGAAGAGTTTGAATTTTTCTCTTCTCCTTTTCCGGATTTCTCCAATACAGGTTGTGGTTTTGTCCCTATCCACATTTAAAGGGAAAGGCGCTTAAGAAAAGGCAAGAGAGGACTTTGAGGCTGCATCTCTCGAACCCGTAAAGGGAGAGCGATAATGGATAAGGGGCGTGCAGACTCCTCCTTTCTTGCCCAATCAGGTGCACAGGAAGATGTCTTTTTACCAATAAAAATAAAGTTCGCTTTCCGGAGGCGGGAGGGTGAGCCTTGACTGCCAGTTCTCCAAAGCAACGATAGAGTAGAAGACAGAGAGTGATTAGAGGCAGGACCAACCCGGGAAAAGGGGCGGGATGGGGTGGGGGCAGCTCTGAGCGGCGGCTGGACTGGCCAGTGGAGTGCGAAAATCGCTGTTCCTGTTGTAGTGTTTCTCGCCAATCAGCAAGGTGAGGGAGTGGGCGGGGCGGGGAAGGGTGGTAAGAGCTCGCAGCACAGGCGAGCGCCCGTCGGGCTCGGGGGAGAGGGAGCAATCCGGTTAAAATCAGAAGCGGAGGGAGGTTTAACCACGGATCGGTTCCGATCGGATTATTCCTTAAAGGCGACGCGCCATTGTCAAGAGAACGGAGCCTGGGGCCCGAGGGCGGGGACCAGCGGCGCTTGAGGAGGCAGCTGCACCTGGACTGGGGACGGGTAGGTGTTGCTTGGGGGAAAGGCGCTTCATTTCACTTTCTCTTCCAGCCCCAGGGGCAGGCGCCGAGGTGCCCGCCGACCGGCGGCCCCAGCCCCGGCGGGAGACGAGGTCGCCGGCCCTCGCCTGGCTGTCCGATGGAAGCGGTGGGAGAGGCGGGCCAGGATGGCTGGCAGGCTGCTCCTCCCGAGCCAAGACTCATAACGGACACTAAGCTCAGCCCCCGTCTCAACCGAAAACCCGCCGGGTCCTCGGGGAGCGCCGCGCGCCCGGCTCCCCCGCGCGCCCGGCTCCCTTCGTGCGCGCCCCCTTCCCTTCGCGCGCCCGCCTCCCCTAGCGCGCCGCCTCCTCCTGGACTCCCGGAGCCGCGGGGCAGGGAGGAAGGCGGTGGTGGCGAGGCGGAGGGAGGTCGGCGGCCGCTGTTTCGTCGCCCTGGCCGTGAAGGGTGGACCGAGGAGCCAACTTGGGGCGGCCGCTGGCAGCCCCGGGCGGAAGGGGTGCTGGAGAGCGGCGGAGCGCGCGGAATAGCCTGCCCGGCCCAGCATTGTCCCTCTTTTCCTTTGGTCTCTCCGCCCACTGCTGGCGGTAGTTGGGAGGGGTGCGGATGCGGGCGCTGTGCCCGCGTCGCCACGGGTCGGCTGTGCACCCCCAGACCCAGAGCTTTCCGGAGCTGGAGTGGCCCAATCGACGCCGCAGACACCGCCCGAGGGCGGTTCGGGCCTGCTGAGTGTCTTTGCTGCTCTGAGCTCGCACCTTCGCCGGCTGAGCTCTTCTTGCAACTTTTCTTTGCGGATGGATGGAAGTTGTGGCTTCTGGGCGGCAGGTTCTTTGGGCGTAAGCTAGTTTCCTGCGTCCTGGAGAGGCTGATTTCTAGGGAAAAAATGGTTCTTGACTGCTGTCGGTCTCCTTCCCATCCCAGTTTCATTCCTCGGCACTTAAAATCTTGTCTCTTGTGCATTTGCAATCATATGGGAGCATTAAACTCTCTCAGATCAAGATAACTTGGCAAAAAAAAAAAAAAAAAAAGGCGGGGGTGGGGGTGGAGGTGTGATGGAGAGGTCAAGAGTTCCCTGTAGAGTCAAACTTGCCTTAACCTTTGAACTGTGGAAAGTATCACCCCGACTTACTTGAGGTTCTTTTAGAAGGAAAAGGAAAAAAGAAAACAGAAAACCAGGTTGCCAGGGTCTATGAGATTAGGAAGAAATAGACTTTGGATAGAAATAGTTTTCTAAAATGCAATTCTGCCTAGCAGATATCTTCTATTAATTTCTTTTTCTTCTTACAAAAGGTAAAGTTAACTTCTACTATTGAACTCATAGGCATTATTCGTAACACCAACTTTTACTATTAGTAAAACAAGTATAAAAGGTTTTTTCATCTTGAGCATTAGTGCTATGCTGTACCTGTCGATACTTGCTAAAGAAATCATATTTAGAAACAGCACATTCCTTGTTAGAGACCTTATTTAGAAAAGGAATGTTTTCATAAGCATTCATTTTTGACAGTTTCTTGTACATACTTAGTAGAGTACTTGCATGTGCAAGTTACATTCCTATAAACAAAGTAGCAAAGTAGCAGTGGGTATGTTTCTCTGTAGTCTTTTTTAAAATTTTTTTTGCTGCTCATAAAAAATAACATTCCATCCAGTCTTCCATTCTGAGTGATTTTTGTAAAATTACTTATGTAGAAGAATGAATTTTGTCGGAACACCTGGCACAGTGTTGTTATTTTTTTTTTAAAGCAATACTAACAATTTCCCAGAGTGTTGATTAAAACACTATTTAGTAACTTTCTGAGTGATATGAAACATGATAAGTTAACAGACTCAGCAGTAACAAAGGAGAAACTACTTGGGAGAGAGAGAGAAACATCGTGAGAATCAACATTCATCCAGCTGCCGGCTGCCTCCTGCACGCCCCCTCCTGCACGCCCCCTACTGGGGATGGATCCCGAAACCCTGAGCATGTGTCCTGACCAGGAATCCCACCAGTGACCTCTTGGTGCCTGGGTCCATGCTCAACCACTGGGCCACACCAGCCAGGCGGCAGTATTATTGACTATATTCCCTGTGCTGTAGGAATCCTGATATTAACTGGTATTGTTACATCTAATATCCACCTCCAACCCCCACCCCTCTTAATCCTCTTCTGTGATAAGGACGGCAGGCAAGCTTTCGGGCACAATCTTCCTTTTCCCCATTACATGATAGAAAGTAGAAAATTAAAATGTGTTTCCAAATTTCTATCTTGGTTTACTTACCAATTTATTTAAATAGTACAGGAGAGAATTTCTGAACTTTTATAAAAGCACATATAACGAACACATTCGGAAAGAATTATCTTTGAAATATCTAGATTGTGTTTCCTGGAAAATATATTTTTCTTGTGAGCTTTTCACATTTTAAAAAACACATTGTCTTATGTATAGACATTACCAAGACATTTCTCGAGTTGTGAACTCTTGAGATCCTTGGGAACTAGGACTGCCTTCCATTTCTGTGCAAATTCACTGTGTCACCTAGCGCCTTCCTAGTACCCAGTAAATGTGTTGTCTTAGGTCTTTGTGACAGGAAAAGATGATATTCTATACAGGTGGCTTGAAGTACTTTATTTTTTATAAACACCTTTCTAAACAAGGTAAACCAAAGTACAGCAATTGGTTCAGTAACTGTGGGAAAATATGTTAACTTTTTTGTTCTGTGTACAAAAATGTGACATAATTGTTCATTGTTATAATGTCTGTTCCACAGACATCTTTTGTGACGGTAATAGCTCATTGTCACAATTATTAGAACGAGGTTTAATCTGTCAACATCTGTTGAGTACCCGTTTATTTAAGGAGTATTATGGGAAGATAAAGTAGAAATGGATGGCAGTCATTACTCTCAAAGGTATACAGTTTAATGGGAAGTTGCAAAATTAACATCCGTAAGAAAAAGACTGTATCTCAGTGCAGTGACAAGTGCAGAGTAACCTCGACACGGGATTGATGCCAAAATGGTAAAGGAATAGTGCAGTAATAGAAGAAACCTCAGTGAGGCTGGAAAGTTTTCATTGCTTTGTACAACGGATATTCTCATCCTCCCACCCTCCCCGCCACCCTCTCCTCTCCGCTTGGGTGACCCTCAGCTTGTTTTCTACATCTGTGGGTCTGTTTTTGTTTGTTTTGTTTACTCATTTATTTTGTGTGTGCTTTTTAGATCCTACACGTGAGATAGATTTTATATATTTTTTAATAAATTTAAAAATGAAGTATGTTTGGGGGTTGGCTGGGTGTATGTTCTCTACTTGAACTATTTTTATCTGTAATATATTAGGGGGGCAGAGCATGTGCTCTGTATTTCAACTGTTGTTACCTCACCAGAGGGATCATCCCAGCTGAGATGTCACCTTGTCTGCAAGCTTTACTTCTGTTCTCCTAATCATAAGTGACTGCTCTGTCCTCTTGCTCCTGTAAAAGCCTTTTACAGCACAAGCCACGCTCTGACCTATAGTCTGGTTATGTGGGTATTTCTTCCTTAGGTTTTGGACTTTGGTAAAGACCATTTACAAAAGTTAGAGGCCCTCCCTTCCCACCCCAGCTTCTTGCTGTTGCCTAAAGTACTTGAGCAGTTTTATTAGACCACTAGTATTCTATAAAAACCGTAAGCTGTATAGAAGTTCAAAAAAATTATATTTGGGGTTGGTGGTGAATGTATGTTTTGTTTAGAGGGAAAAAGATTTTTATTTTCCTTACCACCAAAGTATCACATGCTCATTGAAAAATATGAGTATGAAAGAAATGTATACTTTTTAAGTTAAAAGTACTCCTGTAACACTGCTCTTATCACATAACTATTGGTAATGTTTTGGTGTTTATTCTTTGTCCCCCCCCCCTTCTTTTTTTTAGATAGGACTGCCTTAAACTATCATATTTGACAATTTTAATTAGTAAGTTGTATTTACTGGGAATGGAAAAAGGTAATCAATTTTTATACACTTATTTATTATTCATTTTTCCGGGCTCAGTAATTTTGTGTTGTTGTTGTTTTTTAAACCTTTTCTTGAGTTTGTATTCCAAAATAGACCTCATAATCATTTCAAAAATTGATCAAAACCTGTGTCTTTGAATAGTATCTGCCTTTACCCTAAAATTCATTTGGAGTATATACTCTAAGCATACTCTTTTCCCATTCCTTGATTTTTCTCATCTCTAGAGAACATTAAACTTATTTTGAAACTGCAACAGGCACTTCTCCTGGTAGCCAAAGAAGGAACGTACAGAAGGCTTTACTCTACCAGGAAGTTGCTCATAAAAAGGGAGCTACAGTTTAGGCTGATGAACTAGGTGATAAGATTCTATTGTTCAAGCCTTCATAAGGCTGCCCAGAGGGGAAAAAAGGGTTTCCCAAAGGTTCCTAAACAGAAATCCATGCTGCAAGCACTACCAGGTGGCCTAATTAGCTGATAAAATCTCCATTCATTCAGCACATTGTTATTGAGAGTTTCACCTCCTTTGTGCACCGTGCCAGGCATTGAGCTCTAGACATTGAAGATGAGGTTAAGTCTATTGAAGATGAGGGTGTCTGTCTCCACCACAAGTTATGAGCTCCTCTGAGTAGGATCCTTAAATAGACATAATGTACGTGTGGATTCAAGGCAGGAAAGCAAAGTATCAGCTTAGGTGAGTTAGTTTCTCTTGTTTATTGTTCTATGTAGCTTCTTCCAAAATGTCCTAGCAAACAAACCTGGTCTTCCCTAGGAGGTGGATTGGGGTCCATGGAGCCTGTTACAGTAAATGTGTGAGCGCTAGATTTTTTTTTTTTAACTCTGCTATTCCCATGATGTGGCAAAATATTTCTGGAATTCTACAAACATTGGTGTGTCTTTTTCCATGTACCTTTCAGGGATCATTCATTTCAAAGATGCCAATAGAGTATTAACAGATTCTTTTAAACTCAAAATACTATAATAAATAGATGCCTTTATCAATGTTATAAAAATATTTTGAAAAATCACTTGTA